GTCTCTTAACATCCATTACTATTAAGTCAGACGATACGATTATTAAATCATTCATCCACTTCTGTGCACAAGCTTCCCGATACCAGGTGTACTGATGCACTCTGCTCGAAGAAGGTGTTCATAATGGGCAATCCGCTATTTGCGCAAAACCGCAACCACTTCATGCCGTTATTGCTGAGGCCGCTAGGGCCGTTCTTTTCAATCACGCAGTTTCACTTATCAGCGTCTACTCCGACAGGCGGAATAAAATCGCCCATGACTATGAGGGACTCCGTATTCGGCACTTCGTAGGGAGCACACTCCACTGATTCAAAGAAGGAGTCATATTTTTCCTTTAAACTGGGCGCATAGACCTACAACACGGTCAACGTTTTAGCCTATTGCAGCTTCTGTAGCAGGATTGTCACCGTTTCGCTGATAGGCTTCCACTCAATGATTCTATTAGCCGGGTTGATTTCTATCAGAACGCGAATACCGGCCTTCAAGACCGTCGTGATACCTGAGCATAGTAGCGTCCAACCACGTGGATTCACAACACATAAATGGTGATTAATGTTTGAATGCAGTTATTTACGTATTTTGAAACATCTTCCATGCTTCCAAATAGCAGGTAATTCTGTGTTAATAGCAACATGAGGCTAGATAATGAACCGATAGTATGATTTCGTTAATTATTTTGCACTGACATATCTAATATTCACTGTCGCTTTAGCGGTCCTTTTTCCTCTGTATTGGTGGCGTTCATAGGCATTTCTTCAGTAGTCGGATTGTATGATCCTACTGGTCAGGTGCCGTTGAGTTTGCATGCAGCTTTTATAAGCTTTAGTCAGTACAGAATACGCATCGATGCACGGTATTCTGTATTTATCATCAGCTACTTGTGTGAGGTTTCATTGAGCTACTACAGATTTATGGCGTTTAAGTACCTGCAGTGTCAGACACATCTCGCATCATTTTGTCAGCTAAGCCTACTACACGCTCATCACCAACGATGTTTCAGGAGCCAGTGCTCCATTTGCTACCACATGAACATGATTTGCTACACTGCAGATGGTCAAATACCATCAACCGTGGCCTGCTTAAATGCCCCCTAGTAAACATGGAGTAAGGACGGTATAATATGTAATGAAATCTGATATTAGATGAGTTATTCGTCATTTGGCATACTCAGGTTTACGAACAGCCCATGATGTTAAAGGCAGTGTAATATACAGTTAGCAATATCGTTGTTCACTGTGAAATGATCTTTAAATGATATAGGTATATGTCATGCTTAGTCAGTAGCTTGTGCAACGGTCGTTGCTATCAGCATACGCGAGTCCGATACTGTAGGATTATACGAACCCATGAAATGTATATACATATGAGTATAATCATTTAGGGATAGTGAGCATTGAAGCTTTGTGTGCAACAAGTGCAGTCATTATCTAGCACGCTCTGACTTAGGCGACAGGCAGTTGCAATTGTTTTTCTCGCAATGTGGCCGGAATTGTCTTCATCAAGGGTTCTGCTAATCCTACCTCTTAGTTTAAATTAAATTTACGACTCGACGCAGTAATCTGAAGTCTTTCTTAATTAAGCCTGAGAATATCATTGGGCTTGAGTAAGTGATCAAAGGGAATAATACATCCAAAAACGAAGATGCGTATTGTATCGTTTGGCGGGGATACGGCAAGCTGATTTGCCTCAATAGATAGAAAGATGCCATACGAACCTTTGCGGGAATTGAGATCATGTGGTCAGACCCGTCCAATCTACTACATGGTGTGATCAAAAGGTATTCCGTGGTGTCGCAAGACGGGATTAACTCACTTTCCAGGCTGAAAAGATGATCGATTAAGGAGAGTAGATAAGATGACATGACGTTGTTCATCCGGCAGCGACGGTGGCGCTTTCATGGCGGTTAAATTTTGAACCGTTGATCCTGATCCATAGCTCAGTGTCTCTCATTGCATTTTGCAGACTGCGCAAGTCTAGCACTTTACGAATGGAGGAAATAAGCACCGTGTCATTAGCGTACTGGCGATCCATAACGAGTTCACATAAAAGATAAGGAGCAGTGGCGATAATAATGAACCTTGTAAAATGCTGAAGTTGTTCCCCCACACCGATGAACAGCGCCTTCCAACTGCGACGAACTGTGGCGGGTCAGAAATATAATCTGCAAGCCAGTGAATCAGGCGGTTCTCTTAGCTTCCTTTATGCAAGCGAAAGAAAAGACCACCTGTTAGCACGAGCTGAAAGCCGCTGAGAGGTCAAAGAAGACCTGCATTTGCAACGGTACTTCCACAGTCAAGTCAGAGGCTATTAAGTCCATACATAAGACTAGATCGTTTAGATCGAATTTCTGATACGTAGCATAGTTCAAGCTGAGAAGTTTAAACGTAATTCGGCCTTTCTTTCTCTCGCCGAAACCTTTGATGTAAATCCTCTGGATTGATGAAAAAGTTATTCCATTTTCTCTGTTCAGGTTTTAGCATTTTTGTATCAGCAGTGCTTCTTTCACCCTTTGCTTCTGGTGACTTTATGCATCATATCTTCTTCGTGTTTTTCCAGTCATTAATATGACCAATTTTCTCAGCTAATTTGATCAGTGTGAAGCTTTCTCTTGCATTCTCTTTTTACTATTTTCGGTTCTTTCGTGTTTTTTCTTCTTCAACGTTTTCTCTCTCATCTTGCTCACGTTCCCCTTAATCGACTTTGTTTCATCTCTGATGTGCGAGTCTTGATGTTTTTTCCCTGTTTTCGAGTCCGATAACGATTTCTCCAAAACACCTAGCTCTGCTTTCGATTCGCAAGGGATGGTATAGATCCAGCCCTGTCTTTCCTCTACTGCTTCGATGATTTTTACATCAGTGAGCTGACCGCGAAACCGGATGTAAGACTTGAAGGGTAATTGTGCATAAAATTTATAAGCTTTTATTCGTAACTTCTCATGGAGACCAGATACATAGGGGAATAACGACCTGGGGTGTTGACGTCGTGCTTTTTGAACGATTCTACTCGTTACGTGTTGATCGCTGTACTGATGAGCTTTGCTGACTAACTCTCATCGTTAAACCGTTGAAGAAGTACCGCAGTTTGTTTTGGCCTTGTTCTTCATGCGTAATTACTATAGCATTTACAATGCCTCGTCAGCTTGAATTTTTGTACGTATCAATAATTAGTTAAATATATTTATGCTACCTTAAAATCATTTACAGTGTAGAACAGCATTGCCAACAGTATACCACATTTTTTAAACGATGAACGAATGCTTCAAAGCCAAGATTTATTTTACTTGCTGTTATGTATTACTTCAATATGAATCCGGATCGCCCCAAAAAACGTAAGGATTTATATTAATAAAGTGCATATGCTGTAAATTCTTTGAAGAACGGATGGGTACTTTCTACCTGCATAAACAACTCAAGTAATATCTTTATTCCCTGTGCGTGGAAAACGTAAAGCCAGTTTGCAACATATCCTGCACATAGCTATTTATTGACAGTAACTCTGTTGCGAACTGGCACCGTAACGCTATGAAATCAAGCAAATGTGGTTAGCGATTGCTACTGGCACAAGTATAATGCAACATTAGTGCTGAGGAAGATAGCGATCATCCAGTAATAATAATTTTGTGGTTTCGTGCGCGGTGAATTTCTGCCCACTTGTTGCCGTGTGGCGGTCGGTAGAGCGTTGGTGCTGCTTCAGCGTGCGTTGCTGTGTTGTGCTTCTCCGGTCTTTTGCTATAGGAACTGTTTGCGAACGGTGGTCTGACGCTGGACATGGACGCGCTGTCATTCGGAAGCGAACGGTGAGCTTCAACAGTTGCGAGAAAAAATCCTTAGGTTTCCATGTTGTATTCTTTTGGCCGTTGTCATTTGTTCGTCGGTTCTTTTACGGACGCCGTCTTGTTCAGTCGACGATGACCTGCTGTCGGAACATCGGCAGTGCGGTGCTTAGTTTTGTGCCTTGTTCGCGTTCGTCTGATTTTGCCTCATTGTGCCTGTAGATAGGACCGTTGTCGTCCAGCCTCCAACTACGCCAGGCCCACGTCTCCTGGGACTTCGTCCACTATTGCTGATGCGGCGATTGGTGTTATGCCTTCGAATCGGACACAACTAATTTGCACTGGGTGTCTTGCCATCTAGCGCTGGCCGCCGTCGCAGTGTCTTCGTGACGCCGGTATTTATCGCTTTGTTTTTCAGCTCTCCGTTGGTGACCTGCTCGTTCGGCCGGTCGTGCTGAGAACAATTTAACGTTGGGTTCGACGGCCAAACTTCGTAGCGCCTCCTGCTATTTTCGTTAGCCTCGACGTCGTCGATCCACGCACCTCGTTTATGGACCCTTTGATCAGTTGGTAAGCGTGCGTCGAGCATTTAGTGACTGGATGAATGAATGAATGAATGTTTCACTACTTGGTCTTGAATTGAACATCGTACTCCTTCCTTGAACTATGCACCGATCATTGGCCTTCGGTCACGTTTACGTGCTTGACTCG